GGTACCGTGAGCCGCGCGGGGCCGGCCCGGCGCCGCCCGAGCGCGGCCGCGGCTGAGCGCGCCGCTCCCCGCAGGGCCACAGCGGCTCCGTGTCCTGCCTGGACTTCAGCAGCAGCGGCAAGTACCTGGCGTCGTGCGCCGAGGACCGCACGGTGCGGCTGTGGAGCACCCGCGACTGGGCGGCGCGCGAGCACCGCTGCCTGCGCGCCAACGTGGCGCTGGACCACGCCGAGCTCGTCCGCCTCAGCCCCGACTCCCGGTAGGGCCCGGGAGGCCGCTGAGGAGGGCGGCCGCCCTGCAGCGCGGCGCTCGGGCAGACGGCCCCGGGAGCGCCAGGCTCCCCGCGTGCCGGCCAGGGCTCCCCGCGCCTGGGGGCTGCCCGAGGAGCCTGCCCCGGCACCTGAGGAACGACCTAGTTCGGAGAGAGSTGGAGGAAGGGACCCCCTGTCCAGATGTGGAGTGCCCATTTTTGTGCTCTTCCCTTTAGTTTTCCAGACAGGCGAACAGGGAGAGAACTTGGCACGCCTGTAAAATTCTTACAGTTTTCATCTGTCACAGGATTCCTTCCCCAAGATGTCACTAAATGACAGGAGAGCCTGTTATTAACAGTTCAGTGTCTTTCCCCTTAGGGCATTCATTGTTTGGCTGTCAAATGGCGAGACTATTCGTGTCTATAAGATGACCAAGAAGGAGGACGGCAACTTCACATTCACTGCAGCATCCGAGGACTTCCCAAAGAAGCACAAGGCTCCCGTCATTAACATAGGAATTGCAGAGACAGGTATGGAACTGACAGAGTTGCTCCTTTTGCCTCTGCTCGCAAGGGATTTGCTGTGTTTTCCTTGTAGAATAACAACTGCTCTGGGTTGAAAGTGTTGGAGTTTTTGGTGTCCCAGGGCATATTTTTAATTCTGTGTCCTCTGTGGTTTTTTTTTTTTTTTTTTTTTTTTTTTTTTTTTTTTTTTTTTTTTTTTTTTTTTTTTTTTGCTACTATTTTTTTTTTTTTTTTTTGCTACTAAATAAACTAAAAGATACATTTTTCGGATTGGGTAAATGCAGTAAGTGCAACATTAGCTTTCCTGTATGGGCAGTTTATGTTTTTAGAATACTGTTACAGAAAGTTCTTAATATGGGAGCATCACTGTGTTTTGGCCCACAAATTTTGTTTTAAGCATAAACATTGCATCATAAACTCAGGAGCATATGGTCAGTCCTGAACTTCTGTGATCTTCTAAAATACAGTTTGGGCGCATCTGTGTTAGTGGTGAGGTGCCTGATAGGTTAGTGTTTCAGGTATGTGATGCTAGGCACTTTTAAGCGAGTGGGTGTGAGCTTCTCCCTGTAACAGAAGAGTACAGAAAATATTGACTGAGACATTTGTTCAGCTGTGGATCTGAAAAGTTAAACCCCACACCAAGCAGCCTGCAGGTAAATATGAAGCTCATTGTCCAGGCTCAGAGATTGGGGGCCAAAAAAAAAAAAAAGGGAGTCCGAAAAGGCTTATATGCAAACAGTAACCCCGGATAGTAGCATGACTTGTAGTCAGCTCGCTGTCTGAGACCCGTGGCTTGCAAGCAAAAGGAATCCCTTCGCGTTGTGCTTGAACCGTCCAGGGGAGCCCAAGGCCGCTCTGCGGTAGCAGCCCATTGCTAAATGCTGGAAATGGGATGTGAAAGGTGCCGGAGAGGAGCAGCACGTGTGGTCTGAGTGCCTGTTTCCACCTGATAGCTGCTACGTCAAGTACTAACGTGAAACCAGGGGCTGAGTCTTTGTTAGGAGTTGCCTCTCTGCCCAGAGATTGTTGTTCCTTGGAGTTTGGTGCTGCTTTTATTTTTTCTTGCCTGTTCTGGTCCAAAGAGAGGTTGCCCTGCTTTGGGACTGGCCCACACTTTGATAGGCCTGTGGCCCCGTTAGACTTGGGAGTTCTCATCTTTGCCTTTCTTCGCCAGGCAAGTTCATCATGACAGCTTCGAGTGACACTACCATCCTGATATGGAGCCTGAAGGGTGACGTTTTGGCCAGCATTAACACCAATCAGATGAACAACGCGCATGCAGCCGTGTCACCCTGTGGAAGGTGAGGGCTGTGCGGCTATTCCAGGCTGTTCCTGACGAGGAGCAGGAGGCTGCAAGAATAAACAGGAGCCGTGCTCCTTCCCCAGAGGCTAATTGGCTCAGGCCATCTGCAGCTGGCTGTTATTTTCACTGAACTTTTCTGAGCATTCCTCCTTTTAAATACAACATCGCAGGCGCTGAGAACAGCCCCTGCAGGAGCTCTCTCACCTGGTGGTTTGCTGCTGTGCCTCAGTACTGCTGTTCTTGTTCTCCCTCTCCTGGAAAGCTGCCTGGGAGGACAGCGTGGGCCCCGGATGGCAGAGCCTGGCCGAAGTCAGTGCCTTGTTACAAATGTGCCGTGTCTCTGCTTGTTCTATTGCCCAGGTTTGTGGCATCCTGTGGCTTCACCCCTGACGTTAAGGTGTGGGAGGTGTGTTTTAGCAAGAGCGGAGACTTTCGGGAGGTGACCCGAGCTTTTGAGCTGAAAGGCCATGCAGCTGGCRTGCATTTCTTCTCCTTCTCTAATGACTCCCGGCGGTAAGGATAYGGGTGTTTTTATTATTTTATTTTCTCTCCCCACTGACTTAAATACTACACTTAGCTCGCCCGTGGTAAATGGTGGGCTGGTCCCTTCCAGGGCCAGTGAGCAGCCTGCCAGAGCACACGTCTGTGCTCCGTGTGGGAACAGGAGCCTGCGGTGGCAGAACGCTGACTGTGCTTCTGCTGTTCCCCGGCTGCACAGCRAGATCCTCCTCGGGGGCAACTGTTCTTTCTGATCTGGAAAGAGGATGAGGGCTAAATGCATACGTATATATAGGTGCAGACACGGGCGTCCCAAAAGGGCTCCCCAGCCGTGAGCATGTGCCGGATTCCTGCTTTGCAGATGTGGCAAAGATGTTGGTGCTCCCCAACTTCTTTGTCTCACTTCTGCCTTCTGTCCTGGCTGTAGGATGGCAACTGTTTCAAAGGATGGGACATGGAAGTTCTGGGACACGGATGTGGAGTATAAGAAGCAGCAAGATCCATACCTGCTTCTGACCGGAAAGTGTGAGGTGGCGGAGCCGTGTCGCATTGCGCTGGCCCCCGATGCTCGAGTCGTGGCCATCTCGAGCGGCACCAACATTGTTGTGTACAACACGCGGAGAGGAGAGGAGGAGGAGCGCTTTGCTGGTGTCCAYGGACAGTGCATCACAGACTTGGCTTTTGACATCAACAGCCGCTACCTGGTGTCGAGTGGGGATCGCGCCATCCGCGTGTTCCACAACAGTGCCGGTTACCGGGCAGTGGTGGAGGAGATGCAGGCCATGCTGAAAAAAACTGCTAACAAGGCCACTCGCGAGAGGTTAGAGCAGCAGATCTCGAACGCCCAGAAAGCGCTGGCCGCGATCTACGGCAAGAAGCACTAGCCCTCTGCCTCTGCAGTGGCACGCTCGGCTTCCTTGTGGGTGTCGAGGACWGTATTCCACATTTTGGGATTTTAATAACACTGAATAGCTTGTAATAAAAGAGCGCCCAGGCTGCTCACGCAGGGCTTTCCACGCGTGCTTCCTGCTGGGGCGGAGAGCGGCAGCGGGCTGTGTCTGCTCCCCCGCGCCGGGGAGCCCGGCTTTCCCGCTGGAGCAGCATGGTGTGGCCTCCCCGGGGCCACTGCGCTTCCCCGGTCCCGCGAGGCAGTTTCCAGCCGCCCTGCCCTTGTCCCGGGTGGCTGTTCCCATCCCCTCGCTGATGGGCCCATTGGAGCAGTGGGATTTATAAGGTGAATTCTTTCTATTTCCTCACGTCCCCCCGCGGCGGTGGCGGCCAGGGCTCCCCGGGGACGGCGGAAGGGGGTCCCGGTCCCGGGGCGGCCGAGCGGGCGGGTGCTCCGCGCGGGGCGGCCCGGCTCCGCCGCCGCTGTGACCGCCCGCGGGGGCGTGGCTTCCTGGCTCCTCCCCCGGGGCGGGGCGTGCCCCACAGCAACATGGCGGCGGCGGCGTCGCCCCACCCTCGCGCCTCCTCCCCGCGCGCTCGGCGGGCGGGGCGACGGGCGCAGGCGCACTGCGCCGCTTCCGCGCTGCCCGCTCCCCCGTCCCTCCCGCGGGCGTAGCGAGCGCGCTGACGTAGGGCGCGCAGGGCGTGGGCGGGGCGGGGCGCGCGCATGCGCCGGGAGCAGCGGCGGGTGCTGCGGGAGCCGGGGCTGCCGGGGCTGCGGGCGCCATGTCGGGCCGCTCGGTGCGAGCCGAGACCCGCAGCCGCGCCAAGGATGACATCAAAAAAGTGATGGCCGCCATCGAGCGCGTCCGCAAATGGTGAGAGGCGGGGCCGCGGGGGGTGGGGCCTGCCGGCGGGCAGCCAATGGCCGCGCCACACGGATGGCGGTGGAGGCGCTCTGSTAGCGAGCAGCCAATCAGCGTGCCGCGTGAGTCAGTGGGCGGGGCTAGAGGGGCCGCAACCAATACGCTCGCTCGACGGTGCGGGAGTGTGTGGGGGAGAACCGGAAGCGAGGATAATCAGCAGGTGGCAGGGCCAATCGCAGGTGGCACTGCCGAGTAGGCGGGCAAGCCGTGGCTCCGCTCTGGACTGCCGTTCTCCGCGGCCAATGAGCGCTTCGGAGGCGGGGAGGCGGGGCTTGTTGCCACGGTGACTGCGAGTCTGGTTTCCTTGGCACCTGTGGGCGCGGGGCGCGCGCGGCTCTGAGGGGTCCGCCC